TTTTTTTTTTTTTTTATAAAATAAGAATAATGATCCTCACAAGATCATTATGCAGACCAAACAAAATTATATAAACTGAATGGCATATATCAATCATTTGGTAAATAGCAGTTTTGCATTGTAAGCATTATGATTGTAAGCTGTGGTATGATCGGTTTGCAGTTGAGAAAAGCTGAGGATGAGAGAGGGGATATAGCCAAGGCCACACAAAGTCAGAGCCAAGAGTCTAGTGCCATATTTTGGCTCCTGACCCATGCTGTTTCTGCTAGACCTTGTGGGAAAAGGCCACTTTGTCATTGGAGCAGCCCTGGTAGTCAGACAGGGTGTCTGTGAGCCCCCAGGTAGAAAGACAGATTGATTTTCATAACAGGCATTCTCATTAGTTACTGTTACTACAAGCCTGAGGAGAGTGGCACCTTCCCAGAGACTCTTCTCAGTGAAAAGCATCCTTAATGAAGCCACTTAGCACAGTCAAGGTGGAAAAGACAGTTACACCAAATGTCACCTCTTTGTTCTGTCATTCTTTATTTACACAGTAGACAGTTATTCTAGGCTGCGACTTGGGGCACAGAGGGGAATTAGAACGAGAAGGTTCCCAACCCTGAGGAAAACATAGGCACACAGTGCTCCTTAGCACTGAGGCTTCTGGGATTCCCATTAGGGCCTACCACTTGACCTTGCCCCGCCCATCAGTCCTCAGAAGAGCATCTGTACATCCTGTCAAAAGCTCCAGGTCCTGCTTACTGGATAACTGAACATCTTGATTTTGATGTGTTTCAGCTGGGAAGGGCTACCCCTGCAAGACATGTAAGATAGTGCTGAACTCCATAGAGCAGTACCAAGCTCATGTCAGCGGCTTCAAGCACAAGAACCAGTGAGTAACGATCTTTTAAAATTCAAAGGTCTGCAGCAGGAGCTCAGGGCCTCTGAATCATAACAAAGCCAACTTCTCCTCAGCTAAAATGGAACGCTGGCAGCCTTTTCTCAGTCAACAGAAGATAAATCAGTTAACAGAAGTGTCTCCTCTGTAAGTTTTTCTCCCATCAGCTTCTCCCCAGTCTTTGGACCTCCTGGGATGAAAGTTTTAGTAGAGAAGCATAGAAGATTTCTTTGATGGTCCCCTAAGAGTACCTAGATTTCCTGGCCTTTAGCAACCTGAATAGAGAAGCGTTTTTCACCGGCCAGAAGACCTCAGTCTCTGCTGCCATCAGTGTTGTGGCAGGAGCTTCCTCTACAGACAGTTGCCAAATGGGACCAGGTTCTTTCTTTCACTGTTCAAACATTTATTTATACCTTCTGAGTGGTGGCCAAGAAAGACCCAGTCCCTCCTTCCGGGACCTTACATTCTGATGGGAGGAGACAAACAATAAACAAGCAAACAACTAGTAATTATGGATTGTGATAAGTACTTTGAAGGAAACAGGTAAGCAGTCATGCTGGTCTCACAGCTCCTGATAATCCTGAAAATGACTAACATTCATTGAGCGCGTATTCTGTTGGAGGCCACATGCCAAGCAAATTCTCTCAGGTAATCCTCACAACAACCCTGGAAGGAAGGAATTCTTATCCTCATTTTACAGATATAGGCAACCAGTATTCAAAGTGATGCCATGAGGCAGAGCCATGATTCACACAGAGGCCTCCTGCCTCCACAGCCAGGCTTTTCCTTGGGCTTCATGCTGAGAAGGGGTTGTGGTACCATGTGAGAAAGAGTAGAGGGCCTGCCAGAAGGAGCCCCCATGGTTCTATTCTGTCCTCAGAAGGGAAGTGTATGGTGCGAGCAGTAGGCCAGGTGTTGTGAGTCATCTTGTTTATTCCTTACAACATAACCTTCTGAGGTCAGAATTATCATCCCCGTTTTACAGATGAGGAAACTGGGTTTGCAGGCATATCTGCAGAAATGATTGCTATGACTTTTGTGGTTGATTCTGCATTGCTCATTAAACCAAATAAATTAAAGGCAGTAGAAACAGTGTTGGAGCCAAAAATGTCCTTGATCCCCTCTACTCTGCCTGGAGTCCCTTCTCCCACACTGTAGCAGACTTCCTCTTGTGGGTATGTTTTTAATTTGGGGGGCCCTTGAGGCATATCTTGGAGCCCCGGTGGCGCAGTGGTTAAGAGCTCGGCTGCTAACCAAAAGGTCAGCAGTTCCAATCCACCAGCCACTCCTTGGAAACCTTATGGGGCAGTTCCACTCTGTCCTATAGGGTCACTATGAGTTGGAATCGATTGAATGGCAGCCGGTGGGTTGAGGCTTATCTTAGGTATAGACTTGAGACAAACCCCAGTAACCCAGCCTGGGGCTCACACAATGTTTCAGAATGCCTCCTTGAAGCTTGGCTGGTGGTGATTTCTGCAGAGTACCTGGAGCCAGCCAGAGCACTTGGTACTGCCATGAGGACACCCAGACTTGAAAATGCTAGTGTTTTTTACTGTTCTCTTCCTCCCACTTTCCAGCTGTGTGACCTTGGGTAAGTTAATGAACCTCTCAGAGCCTCCAGTCCCTCTGCTGTAATGATAATAGTTACCATTTGTTAAATGCCTAATTCAGTCTCATTTAATTCTCAACAGCAGCTCTGAATTAGGACCCCTGTTGTACAACCCAAGGAAACCTAATGTCAGGTAGGGTAAGTGACTTACCCAAGGTCACACAGTTACCTGGAGATAGATCCAGGATTCAAACCTGTTTGACTCCAAAGTCCATTCCTTTTTGCTCTGCCACTACCAAATGGGACTAATTAGCTTTGCCTTGTAGGCTGATGTGATGGTTAGAGAGAGATACAGTGAAACCTGTGAGAGCCGGAACTTGACGGGATTGCCTTGTTTTTCTGGGGCTCCCAAGTTTTCCACCTTGACAGAGTGCAGTCTTACCAGTTTTTGCTCTCTGTTAGTGTAAAATATTTGAGTTTTCCTTCTCCGACAGGTTTCCACCATAGGTTCCAATTTTCACAGGTTTTATTGTATACTTAAAGTATCTAGCACCAGTAAGGGAAGCTATCAGAGATAATATTTCAGTCATTCAGCATGTATTTATTGAGCACCTCTTATGTGCCAGGCCCTGTTCTGGGTGCTGGCACTATAGTAGGAGCCAAGACTGATATGTCCCTGATCCTTTGGGTCCCCCCTCTGGTGATAGAGGCAGATCCTAAAAAATCCATAAGCAAATGACAGTATCAAGTGGTGGAAGGTGCCCAGCGAGTAGGATAAAGAGTGGCAGGAGAGCCATTGTAGGTTGGGTATGAGGGGTAAAGTGGCACAGAATGAGGTTGGTGAGGTGGGCAACATCCAGGTTGTATGCGGCCTTGTAGACCAGGGTAAATGGTTTGATACAGCGGAAAGATGTGGGCTGCAGTCCTGAACCTACCACTTAAAAGATTGCTTTGAGCAAGTCATGTAAACTTCTGAATTTTAGTTTCCTCATATGGAACATGGGGTTACTGATACCCTCGCAGAACTGCTGTGAGAAAGAGATGGGATGAGGGAAGCGAAGCACCCAGCATTGTGCCTAACGTGCAGTGGACCTCAGTAAAGGAGAGATGCCATGATTATTACTCCAAAGCCCTAGAAGAGCCATAATATCATTAGAATAAGCTACCTGGAGTGCTTTCATAGCTGCACCACAAACTGACCCTTTCCCTTTGTTCCTTCTCAAATTACAGGTCACCAAAAGTAATGGCATCGCCCCTGAGCCAGATTCCAATGCAAGGGCAACCCATTCAGAAAGACTCCACCACCTTGGAAGACTAGCAGTGTTTCTGCTCAGCACCCCCGGTCGGACCAGCCATGAGCCAGTGTCACGTGACTGGTCAGCTGTTGGCTCCTTCTTACTCCTTTCTTACACTGGAGAGTGCATATGCCTGAGGCAGGATTGGGCCATAGGCAGCCTTTGATTGGTCCAGGCAATTATAGTCATCCACTCCAGTTTGCCCCCAGTCCTGTTCCTCGATTTGGCACAAGCCTCTGTAGGTCAGGACAGGGGAGATGGGTTTTGAGGGGACTTGGGGTCTCACTGGGTGGTGAGATGGTCTTCCTCCTCCCTCAGCCCCTCTGGGCCATATGTTTCAAGGCCCTAGAGCCTGTCTTTGCTCTGAACGTCAGTTTTGGACCAATCTCTACAGCCAAAGACCCAAGCTCTCCCTGGGCTCCAGGTACCTCCAGGGAAACCTGGAGCATTCATGCCAGTCTTTGGCCAGGGCAGGAAATGGCAGATGGAAGTGGCTGCCACTTGAGAGCTTGGAGCTGATGTAACTCCCCCTCCCCTCAGAAAGGTGGGCTCTCCCGAGCCAAACCAGATGCTGGCCAGTTGTGTAGGTTTCTACCCACTGTGCAGTCTCCTTCTGGAGCAGTGACACACTCCTGGCAGAGCACTGCTGTCGTCCTGTCCCATCTCCACAGTTTCTGAATGGTGCTAAGGAGGTACAGCAGCTGGGGGCAGGCTGGAGTTGGAGGAGGCCTCAGTACCAGTGGGCTTGTGCGACACTCCAGTGGGGACCTTACCTGCTCCATCAGAGGTGCTCTGACCCAGGGTCATGTGGGAAAGTCCCCCATATGCAAGTTTCCACAACAGTTATGTGCCCTTAAAGGCAAACTGCCTCATGCCAGCCAGCCCAGAGGTTCGCTGCTGCCCTTCGGCCCCATTGGTCCTCTCTTTCACATGTGCAGCAAACCCCTCTGTCCAGATGCTGTGGTGCTAGCCTTTCCCCGTCACCCACCAAGAGATTTCTGGATAGCAGAGGGGCCGATGGGGCCCCCAGGGAAACGAATGGAGAGCTGGTACAGATTTCCGCAGTGAGGAAACCTGTTCCCGGGCCCCAAACCCAGATTTCTTTAATTCTGCTGTTTGATGGCCCAAGACTTCACTAGAAGTGGATTTCTCCTTGTTGCTTTCAAGCAAGAATCCTAGGGAGCGTCCCATCAGAGACCCCTCTTCATAGGGTCAGAAAAGCCCCTACCTGCTCTTGTAGCCTCGTCCTTCACTCCCTGTCCTTTTGCCTGTGAAATGCCTTCGCATATTGCGTGTGGGTGTATGTGTGTTTGCTTATGCTCTGCCTGTTGGTCACTGAAGCATCCAAATAAAGAATTTCTCCCATGAGCTAGCCTGCAACTTAACAGACCTGGGATTTGGGGCCATATTGCCATTGGATCTAGTGTGTCTGTATTGACCCATCACCCCCATGCCACTCAGACTCCCAGGGCCCTCAGGACTGGTCTTGGGAGTTGGGACAGAGACAGATATCCAGAAGTCTCTTGGGTGCCCCAGATTCAACACAACCTCCTCCACTCAGCCTCCTCCCCCTATCGCATAGGGCCTCAAGGATACCTTAGGAGTTAAGCCAGGGATCACTTTCTGTTTTGAAAGGATCACTGCTGTGTGGAGAAGGAATGCAGGGGAGCAGGAAAGAAGATAGGAAGGCCTGTATGGCTCTCTCCAGGCTAATGACCCAGCCTCACTCATCTGCACCCCAGTGGCCAGAGTGGAGTGTCATGGAGTGTTCGCTGAATGAATGAGTGAAGGTGTATGAGCACAGGTGGCCTTTTCTTGCTTATCTCCTACGCGGAGGTTTGTTCCAATGGGACTTATCATAGGCCTGGCGGTTCTTGGAAGAGCCTTTTCCACAGCCCAGAAATGTACTAGGAGAGGAATGAACATGATAGCCTCAGGGGCCCTTTGTTAGCCTTTATTGTAAACAGCCAGGTCTGAAGACAGGTGCCCAGGCAACCTCAGCTCCCATTTTCTGCTCAGCACACTGTGCTTAGGCACCCACTCTGTGCCAGCTGAGAAGAGACCCACGTGGTCCCAGGGTGGGTCCTCGGTTCTCAGCATCTGAAGCTCAGACTGCCTCAGCCATTCCCCCAGGACCTCTCTACCCTACCCAGAATGTCAGAATTGGCCCCATCTTCCATGTAAGGAAGTGAAGGACAGAGTGGTGAGTGAGCACCAGACCATAAGCCCTTGGCCTGTATCTTGGTCTAGGGTCAGGAGTTCCTGCCAGCTGTGTGCGCAGCCAGTTCTGAGTGTGTTGAGGCAGAGATGAACACCCTCTTGCCCTTGGGGAGTTCATACACAGTTGAAGATCACTATGACAGTGTTGCTGTGAGTCGGAACTGACTAACAGCAACGGGTTTTTAGCAGGTATGACCGTTCAGAGGATTATATCTACAGGGCCCTGTGGGAATGCCCAGGATGTGGGCACTAGTTTGGCCAAGGGTATGAAACAACTGGAGAAGTTGAGAAACTAGCATTTCAGCACATTATCTCATTGGATCTGCATGTCAACCTTTGAGCTAGGTGATGATATTCCTATTTTTTAGAGCAATGTGTAAGCTCAAGAGGTGTAGTGATTTGCCCAAGGTCTCTTCACTAAGAAGTGGCACAGTGGAGAATGGAATTGGTTCTCTAGACTGCTAAGCCAGAGCCCTTTCCAAACTAGGCCCAGAGTCCTTCTCATAGGACCCCTGAGGACTCCCTCACCCATCTCCAGGCAGGGCCACGGTCTCAGAGCGATAAGCCACTCATGGCAGGAGCAGCAGCAGCACCCACCAAACAGGTGGGATGAAGCTCAATGTTTAGTTTTTACTCCAAGCCTCCTCCCATAGTGCTCATAGTTGTACTCAAGATTCCCCGTGTACATTTGTTGTGTATTCCAGTTATAACTGTAAGAAACTCAAAGTGGTTAGCTAAAAAGGGGAATTTGTTGATTTACGTTACAGAAACTCCAAGTACAGGAATAACTTCATCTCGCTCTGCTTTCCTCTGTGTGGCCTCTTTTTCAGACAAGCTTTCTCCAAGAAGTGGCAAGATGGCCACTGGCAGCTCCAGGCTTCCTGATAGATTAGCAGCCACAGGGGAAAGAAAATCTTTTTCTGCTAGTTCCAGCAAAAGTTCTGGAGTTGACTCATTGGCCAGCTTGGTCCTGTTCCCATCCCTACACCAGCCACTATGGCAAGGGGGAAGTGGTGCTCTGATTTGGGGCCTGGGTCATGTACTTACTCCTAAAGCCGGGGAAAAGTCAGCTCCACCTAAAACAGATTGACTGAGAAAGAGGCAGAGTTGTGTCCCCAAAAGAAGGAAATTGTGGGGCTCTCACCAAATTCGGGGCAGTGGATGCTGGGGGCAAAAACAACTGTCGTCCACCACACCTAGGAATTTATTTAGGCTTTTTTTTTTTTTTTTTTTTCAGCTTTTCGAGATACAACATAAATTTAGTAATGGGCACCAATTTTTAGAGTACAGTTTGATGACTCTGTACCCTACACATATTTGATGTGTATACATCTGGGCAGTCACCCTCCAGATCAAGATCCAGAACATTGCCAGTCTCCCAGAAAGTTCTCTCGTCCTCTTTCCTTGTCAGTATTCCCCTCTATCACCGTATTTCTGCTTGCTCTTGAACTTTATAAAATGGAATCATACATATATTCTCTTCGGTTCAATATTATGTCTGTAAGACTTATCCATGTTATTGTGTGTGTCAGAAACTTGTTTTTATCATCCTGCATAGTAGTGCATTATATGAATATACCACAATTCAACCATTCTACTGTTGATGGACAATTGAGTTGTTTCTAGTTTCTGGCTATTATAAATAAAGCTGCTGTGAAAATTCCTGTACATGTCATTTAGTGCACATGTGCACGCATATACCCAGGAGTGGAATTGTTGCATCATAGAGGAGCTGTATGTTTAGCTTGTCTAGATACCACCAAATGGTTTTCCCAAGTGGTTCTACCAATTTATATTCCCACCTGCCATGTATTAGAGTTCCACTTTCTCTGCCTCCTTGCCAGCAGTTGGTATTGCCAGTCTTTTTTATTTTGGCCATTCTGGTGGCACGCAGGAACTTGAACCCAGGAATCCTGACTTCAAATCAGTGCTCCTCTTATTCTGAGCACCCATGAGATCAGCTTTGAATTGCCGTAGCCTGGAATAGTTGCCGACATCAGTGCCCAGGGCCCACAGTAAACATCAGAGGAAGCCCCTGCCCATGGTTCTGGTGGTTGGGGAGGGATCGGCCCTGGAGAGGCAATCTGGTGCAGTAGCAAGGAACCCAGCTTCTGGAACTAGGCAGCCAGGGCTCAGATCCCAGTTCTGCCACTGCTGGGCTGTATGATCTTGGTTAGTTAACTCCTATGCCTCAGGGTGAAACATTAGTACCTACCTTATTAGGGTATTAGGAGCCCTGATGGCACAGTGGTTAAGCGCTTGGCTGCTAACCGAAAGGTCAGTGGTTCAAACCCACTAGCCACTCCATAGGAGAAAGATGTGGCAGTCTGCTTCTGTAAAGATTGCAGCCTTGGAAACCCTATGGGACAGTTCTACTCTGGCCTACAGGGTCTCTATGAGTCAGAATCGACTCAACAGCAACAGGGTATTGGGTTATTATGAGAATTAAAAAAATAGATATATGTGAAATAATTACAGTGCCTAGCACATGAGAAATGCTATATAATTGATGGCTGCTGTTGTTTCTGTTAGGTAAGCCCTGAATTTCCCTGGGGAAGTGAGTCTACAGGCACATGGTGCCTGGCACAGCCCCCTGTATTAAAAGTCAGTGACTTAAGAAATAACAGAAACCTAATTCAATCTAATTGAAGGGGAAAAAAAGGCAACATATTGGCCAGAGATGGTTCTTCCCTGGGCTTCAGCAAGAGGTCTTCTGCTGCTGGGGAACCCCAGCTTATTTCTGGCACCCCGGGTTCTGTGGCTGATGACACCCCAGGAGTAGATAAGATGGGATCATGCATATAAAGCTCTCAGCCCACAGCTGGACACAAAGCAAGTGCTTGGGATGTAATAATCCCTCAGTGCAGACACACATCAGTGTATGTACTTGTATAGCAGCCATGAGGGGTGGCAGG